AACGGAGAAACCACATACAATGGGGCAAACACAACATATTTATTAGGACGATAAACAAAACAGAAGGCACAAGTTCCACCCTGTCTATATTCCATGAAATGTTACTGGGATAAATATTCCGATTAAAAGTCGAGTTATTAGAATGGCAAGATCCAGGTGTCTACAGGCACGCAATTCAGGTATAAACACGTGGATGGTGGGGCCTCCCTGGTGGTGCAAGGGGTTAAGCTCTGCACTACGAAGCTATCCACAGCCACTGCAACATGAGTTCGATCCCTGGCCAGCCAGGGCGGGATGGGGGGCCAGCTGAAACTTGTTTGTATTTGCTTTGTTTATTTATTTTTGAGGCTTTTTAAGACTTTCCAGGGTTGAGTGTGATCATCATCACCACCACATGGCGCAGCAGACCTCTCCTGGCTCTTCCGCTGCTCCCCTCAGCAGTGTATTTCAGTCTGCCTGTTCTGTTCCCCGCTCTGTCTCTGGTGAATCCTCTCACCCTCCCCCACTCCCCCAGCATCTCTGGCCTGTGCCCCAGCTCTTGTATGCATAAAAAAATAAATCTTTAAAAAAAAACATACACGGACGGGAAGCAGATGGGTGAGAACCTGCAGGCAGGTGTATTAGTGTCAGAGGAGCTAAATGGCAAGAAAAGATGTATTTTTAAAATGAACATACCATAAAGATAAAAGGGAAAATTCATTACAAACACATCAAAAAATTGTTCAGCACCCTAAAATGAAGCAAAATGTTGATGGACTAAAGGGGGAAAGAGATGAGTCTGATAGTAAGCAGGTTCAACAGTTTTCTCTCCCAGCAATTGATAGAACGAGTAGGAAAACAAATAGTAAAAAAAAAAAGGAAGATCTGAATAATACCATTAACTATCTTGGTATTTATTGAGAGTTGCCAGCAACTGCGGTATTTGCTGTCTTTTCAAGAGCTCAAGTAATAGACATTCACCAAGATAGACAAGATGCCAGGCCATGAAACAAATCTCAGTAACTCGAAGCATTGAAACCATACAGAGGGTGTTCTCTGAGAACAATGGAATTAAATTAGAAATCAACAGAGCATCTGGGGAAAGATATAATTACAGAAACAAGTCACAGAAATGGGAGAAATGATTTGCAATCTATTCATCTCAGGAGGGATTTTTACTTGTATCTAGATATATACAGCTATCTTATAATTCCATTTTTAAAGCCACAAACAGCTAATGACAAGCAAATTAGTGGATATAAATGTTATAAAATGCAGAAGGCACACATGAGAAAGGACTCATATAAAGCACCTTAAGTGATGCTCAACTATTAGCCATCAAGGAAATGCAGTGAAAATCACAAGGCTCCATGCTCTGTGGGTGAGCAACAAATAAAAAGTCTGGCTGTACCCAGTGTTGGTGAGAACGGGGCCCTTGGGGAGTTCTCCTGTGCTGCTGCTGGAATATGCAGGATTTGTCCATATGAGCAAGCTGTTTGGCAGCTTCTTATGAAGTTGAGTAGACGCTGACCACAGGACTTGCTGCCCCCTCCTCAACACCTGCCCAAGAGCAAGAAGACACAAGGACATGTACATAAGTGTTCACATCCCCTTTATTCAAAATAGGTCCATCCACAGGTGATGAGATCAACACCTGTGACATTTCGAACAGGAGTGTCGTGCTTGGGAAGATATTCTAGAATGTTCCCAAGTTTCTGGATCTTGAAATTTTAGAACTCACTGGAGGAAAACTTCTCACAAACCCCTGATTTCCAGCTTTGCTCACCCTCAGGGATCATGAACCCAATTTAGGCATGGATTTGGGTGGAGAAGACTCGGAGACCAGAGGGAAAGGAAGTGGTCACGGGAGGCTAAGAAGAGCCTGGCCACCTGACCCCAGAGCCAAGGGTTTTCACCCTCCACCCTGCAGCCCACAGTAAGTCCAAATCCTCCCTGCCTCTGTTCAGCACCCAGGGCCCCCCACCTTTGGTGACTGTTCTCTTTAAATTCATTTCTCTCCATCAGGCTTTGTCACTTGAGCACCTCAGGATTTTCCTCCTGCTCTGCATGGCCCTCCCTTCAATGTTCATGTGTTCTCCTTCCCAAGTAACTGTTCTGCTCATAGGAAAAGCATCACCATCAAAGAATTCGTCGGTTCCGCACATCATTTTCTTCAATCGCATTTGACATTTCTGGAAGATGTCACAGCCCAGAGTTGAATTTCTGAGTTCTATCAGGAGATCATAGAGTTGGCTGAACTTCTTTTAATTCTTTTTTTTTTTTCAGTTAAATCTTTCTCGATCCTAGCTTTAATTTGTCAAATTCTAAGACCTTGAATACCTTTCTTCAAGGCAATTGCAATTAAGAGAAATCACTTACTAAACGTGGAAGGGTCTGTTCCTAGTTGAAGGCCATTATTCTCTTTCAAACCCCTTCTGGGAGTTTTAAATAGTTTTGTGAAGTAGTGTTTTGCCATTAACCTTGAAATCATGTGGATTATTTCATTCTTAATGAAACCATGCCATATGCATACCCTTTTGATCTTTAAAGGAATTAACAGGACCTATTATCATCTTTCTCCGATGATTCTGAAAAATCTGGCAGGGAGTCAGTATACATTATAGGTTCAGAAGAAATGAGAATTATCCATTTTTTCAAGTTTTTGACACTTACTCTCCAGCCCTCTATATTAGACTTATGAGTTTGTAGTGCATGTACCTCCTGTTAGCTCCGATGCAAGAAAAATAATCTCATTGTTGAGCCTTGGTAAACCAAGACGTCCTGTCCAAGGACACCAGGCATCTTTAAGATATAAATGCAATGTTTTAGTGAAATATCAGAGGACTTCAGGGAAAGCTGTGTGTACCCATATCTTGAACTTGCTGGCTGATGGACCATGGATTAATAAAAGATATTTTAAAGCAATTTCCATGTTAATGACATCAGATAACTGTGTGAGTGCACCCCACACGTTGCAGTTATAACCTGAATGTTCTGAGGACACACGGACATGTGCTGCATCTCACTTGGGGTCTATGGCAACCGCCTCAATTCAGAGCCGCCGCCTCTGGTCATCCCATCCAAGCTCACATTTGTCTCCAGTCTTTTTTCATCCCTCTTTATGATTTTTATCAAAAAGTACAATCTTTGAAAAGACATAGGGTACAGTGCCTCCCTGGTGGCACAAGGGGTTAAGCACAGCACGATGAAGCTGTCTGCAGCCTCTGCAGCAAGAGTTTGATCCCCGGCTAGCCACGGAGCAACCCACATGGCGCAGCAGACCTCTCCTGACTCGCCCGCTGCTCCCCTCAGCAGTGTATTTCAGTCAGTCTGCCTGTTCTGTTCCCCACTTTGTCTCTGGTGAATCCTCTCACCCCCCACACTTCTGGCCTGTACCCCAGTTCTTATACAATAAGCAAATAAATCTTAAAAAAATCTAGAAAAATAAGACATAGGATACAGATTAGGGACATAGGTTAATGCCAAATACTTTGAATTAAGTGGCCCAACTTGGCCATTTTTTTAAACTGTGTGTCCCTTGCAAATTACTTACTTAAAATTAGCCTTTGGCCTTTTCATCTTCAAAATGGACATGATAAGAATTTTAGTCTTTAAATTTCCTTTGTATACACTATATACAGATACCCGCATACACCTGTGTCACTTAGAATCATGACTGACATGTGGTAATTGCTCTTTGCAGGTACATTATTATTAGTATTCAATTAAGAATGCCTGAATTATAGTAAGAGCTTGGGACATGTTAATTATCACTATGATTCTCTTCCAACTGAAAAGTATAGGTGAAAGAGGTCAAAGAGAATTAAGAGCAAGTATGGAAGATGATGACAAGACGCACCTTCTACTTTTTAGAAACAAATGTCACTAGACTCAATAGCTTTATGCAGTTTTCAGAAAATCCAATTAAGAAGAAAAAAGAAAAAGAAATAAGAAAACTCTAATTGCATTTGAGTTTTTAGCACAGATATTTAATGATTAAAGTGAATGGTGAAGATGGCACTCTAAATATTCATTTCTTGTGTGCTGTTATTCAAGTACAAAAAGAATCACCAAGAAATTTAAATCTTTATTTAGTAGGTTTACTTCTAGTATTGATATTGGCATTAAAATCTGAATTTCCATTATAGACAAGTAAACAAGTAAGCATGTTGATATTAGAATCCAAGGTTATCACTACAAGAGAAATGAAATAAAAATAGAAGGTAAAATAAATTAAAGGTACCCCTGGATATAAAATTTGAATTGGAAAAATCTACATGAGACTGTACTTAAATATAAATGTTAAATGTTCTGTAGCTTTTCTACTGAAGGGGCCTCGAAGCAGTGATGCCACAGAAGCGATGAGTTTAAGTGGCAACAGATCTTAATTTCTGGGAGGGAGTCAGGGAGTCAGGGTTCCCTGAGAAATGCTGATTCCAGATCTGAAATGGGGAATGGTCACCCAACATCTGCACCATCATGTGCAAAAAAGTGCTCAAAGCTTAGGAGACGATGAACAAAGGACACTGGTGTGTGGGGGGTGTGTTTCAGACTCATAAAGGATGCCCGTCCTGTTTGCTGGCAATCACTGGCTCTGCCACCCCAAATAAAACTCAGCTACTCCAAGAAGGACATGCGTGCCTTGCTTAGGAAAGATACATACATAGTGACCATGTGAACTTTCCAGAATAATGTTATCCCTCTGAATGATTTCACCGAAATTATGTAACTCAGTGATGTAACTTTGAACTCATAAAATGTGAAGCATGTTGTAATTCCAGGTACTATGTTGGCAAGCAAGAGCTCAGCACCGCTGCACCCCATCCCCCCGACACAGGAGAACTTTGTGCTTCCTGAGACTCCCAGGACACAAGAGAACGCCAGCCGGAAAGGGCGGCCAGTGGTGTCCAAGGCAGAAAGATCAGGGACCCAGGTCGTAGGTCCCTTCCCTGCCTTTTCATTTTGCTTAGTCACTTTACCTTTTAAGTAAATGACAGTGGAATTGGTAAATACTTCTTTCTTAACATGGAAAGAATGAATTCGCAGGTCACCCTGGCGCAGGGACCATGCTAACCTTCTCTGTGCCGTTCCAATTTTAGTGTATGTGCTGCCAAAGTGAGCGCTTTGACTCGGTAAATATTTTTTAAAGTGGGTTGATGGTTTCTTGCTACTACTGTGTTCTACAGCTCAACACTCTAGATTTTGCTATGACTTGAGTGAACCTGAAATTGAAACTAAAATTGGAAACGCAAATAGGACACAGGAGCCACCTTTCAGAGTTTCTCTGAATGTATGATAATTTGGACATAAAAAGAATAATTTTGAAAATGAGTTAGAACACTGAATTTTTAAAAATTCATATTTCCATAATGTTACGGAGGAAAGACAGGGAGAGGAAGGGTGGAAATGGAAAGAAGATCAGCTCATAAACATACAAGAAAGAGTCGTTAGAAAAATCACTACTTTGCAACCACCAATCTATTAATTGATTCAGGCCAGGATCACTGATGGAAAATAAAAGTTGTGGGCCTCCCTGGTGGCGCAGCGGTTGAGCGCTGGGTTGCGAAGCTGCCCACGGCCTCTGCGGCGCCAATTCGATCCCCGGCTGCTCCCCGGCCACCTGAGGAGGGTCCCACAGGGCGCGCAGACCCCTCCTGCCGCCCGCTGCTCCCCTCAGCAGTGTACTTCGGTCCTTCTGCCTGCTCTGCTCCCCGCTCTGGCTCTGGTGAATCCTCTCACCCTCCCGCGCTTCTGACTGTACCCAGTGCATGTATAAACAAAACAAACAAACAAATAAAATAAATAAATAAATAAAAACATGCCTCTATATTAAAAAAAAAAAAAGAAAAGAAAAGTTGTGAAAAATTGCTAGGAGGTAAGGCACTTACACAGTCTCAGAGACTCATCTCACGCATTGCTTACTAACTGCAAAAGGAAAAAGCTACCTCAAAAATGGAGACACCAGGGGCTCACCCCTCCAGCCAGGAGGCCAAAGCTAGCATCACTCAGAGGGGTCCCGCTGGCGCTGGAGTCTGCCTGTCATGACAGGCACACAGCACCTGCTGCGTGGTGTTCCCACCTACAACATAGGAAAAGCGCTTTCAAAATCTGCAAAGAGGAACTTCCTATTTTTTGAAGAAATGGCTTTGACTCCTCAGCAATTTTAATTCCAGTTCAAAACATCTGAAATGACTCAAGAATCTAACAATCAAATGCAATGTTCAGCCCTTGATTGAATCTGGAATCAAGAAAAAAGTAGCATTTATAAATGGCATTTGAGGGCTCATTGAAGGAGCTTCCACATGGGTTGTACTGACGGGATTATGGATATTTTGGCTAATTTTTTCCTGCGTGTTAGTAGGAATAGGTCATTTAGGAGGTACCTGCTAAATTACTTAGGGGTGAGAGATTACTTTAAATGGTTCAGGAAATAAAAAGCAGATAAAGAAAATGAGACCAACTTTTAAAGAACTGATGCATAATCCCGGTGTGAAGTGTACCTGGTTGTGCACTGTGTGCTGGGTATTGAAGCCCAAGTTACTATCTCATCTGCTTGTGACACTGGGCGTGGGACTCAGCGCACCATCTCCCCCACCCAGCTCGCTCCCCATGAGGCTCTAGCACCAGGGGGAGGCAGGAGGCTGAGGGGTGCTTGCCAGCTGGAGAAGAGACTTGATCCCCCCTGTTGACCTGCCTTCCCGCCCACTTCTCCCAGCAAAGCTTCTCCAACTAAACAGGCAATGATTTGCAGTAGTAGTTGGTCCCAGCTTCCTTTCTTGGATGCTCAAATCACCAACCTCACTGAACCCTTGCAGACACCCCAGCTGAGCCAACCTTCAGCCCATCATCCCATGGAAACCCCCCTCCCCGCAAATTCCTGAGGCACCTATTCCACACAGCTCTTCAAAGTCTGAGTACAAGCTCCCTGGTCCCGGTTCTCCTTCAACAATTTATCCATTCTCTGGCATCTATTTGCCAGTTCTCCTGTGCTGAATTCTTTCTGTGAGATTAATGTTATTTTCTCTTCCTGATCAGACGCTGATGGATAGAGTTAACACCATGCTTTCCACTTTTCTAAAGATGAGAATTTTTTCAAGATATTTATTGGGGGAATATTGCTCTGACTCAGGATTCTAGAAAAAATTAAATACAGAACAAAGTCTTACCTACATGATCACAATCCATAATCACTGCTCTATGTGAAAGTGTAGCTAAAATGTGGGGAGTGTATTAGAAAATGTGGTGGGGCAACAGCAGACACAATTTTTCAAAAAAAAAAAAAAAAAGAAAAAGTTGAATCTGCCAATTGTAGGCAGGTATCGAAAACCAATGACGTTTAGGGCTCTGCCACTAAGTCACCACTGTAATGTTCCTCAGAGCAACAACAATAAGAAATGAGTCAGACCTTCTACCCTCAGACCTTCAATAACTGCATGTTCCAAAAATCAACCCTTGGATCACTCTCTCTCTTTAGCTGATTTTATCATCTGTTGATGTATTTTCTTTCTTCCCTACCTTTGCCATGGTGGATCCCTCTTTCATGTGGGGTTGTCCTTATGTCTTACTCTTATGTGGGATCCTTGCAAATGGAATTTGTAAGGCTATGACACTGTCACTGATGAGCTCTAATCTTTAGAGACACTCAATATCTGCCTTTACTCTTTCTGAGCATCTTCCATCCACCATGGGAAATGTATGTCCTGGAGACCCAGTGGACCAGAATGCAAGGCATGCGAATCAGAAGTGAACTCAAACAGCATCTTGAAGCAGAGACCCTCAGAATATCTAATTCATGAACAAGAAAACAAACACTGGTGTAAGCTACTGGCGATGGCAACAGCTCCAAAATGAGCCATGGCTTTAGAACTATATGTCAGGCAACCAGGAAAGCATTAAGGGCAATTTAAAAAGTGAAAACCCTGTTATGCGGTAGATGGAATTTTGTAAATCTCATCTGCTGTAACATAGAAGGCAGAAAATAAACCTCATGAACAGAAATTTGGGCAGGAAGATGGAGAGGCACAATGCCCATGGGGTGATCTGGTTGTTTCTGCCTGCATTTGATTTTGTATTATGAGATGAGCTCAGGGAGGAAGAGGCTAGTTTGCAAGCAGAACTGGAAAAAGAATATAGTGTTCTCAAAAATATTGAAGAGTTTGAAAGTAAAACACTTTCTCATCTCCTGCAGTAAAGTTCAAAACCGAGCACAATGCTGAGTTTGAAAAGGCAGTAAGACTCAGGTGTGGGGTCCGACTCATGACAGGGCATGACCTTAGTAAGATTCACAAGTAGGTGTGGGTAGTAGCAAGAAGAGCCTTTCAGTGGGATATAATCACTCCTAAAAGAAAAGGACATGGCCTCAAGTAACCCTACATGCCCTCAAGGTTATGTGCATGCATGTGTGCATACATGGATGTGTATGTATACCCACATATATACATAACACATATATACTCAATGCATACTTAATTATATAGATAATTATTGGGAGTGTAAATAATTCCTCTAAAAGAATTACACAAGAGATGTGCTTTTTATCACATGATATTGATCCAAATTTTTGCACACAAAAGAAACACAAAGTATTTGAACAAACTGTTCTGGCAATGATACTGCCAGCTGGGGCTCAAAGAGCCTGTATCCATCCCCAACCCAAAACGTCCTCTGGGACTCCAGGTAGGAACAAGTCTGAGAAAACCATTCAGTCGCCAGGATTTATTCTCAAATGTCCTCTTCATCTGTGGCCAAGGAGGATGACAGGGAAGGAAGTGAGCTCCCAGCGTGTGGAGCAAAGAGCTCTGGAGGACTCTAGAGAGCCATCTTAGAGAGCAGAAGCAAAGCCCAGTCAAAGAACATTCTCTTTGCTGGGTAAAATCTGAGCAGAATTTCAGAAGTGCTGTGGACCAGGAACTCTCATGCCCCTTTTAATTCTTCAGGCACTTGAATGAGACTGCTTGGGGCAGTTATTTTATCCTCTTCCACCTTTCCATGCTGGCTGAGAAGGAACAAGTGCTGTTTGTGTTAAATTCCTGTGCAGAAGATGTAAATTCCAAGCAGAAGATGTATCCCTCCCTTATGTGGAGATTTTCGTGGGATCGTGGAATTCAAGTTCCTTATGCCCTACTCGCTTTTTCCCTGGAATGCAAACAATAATAACAGCGAGCAGAGAGGACATTGTATTGCTGTTTAACAGCAGTTCTCTGGAATCTCATCTATCCCTAACAATTTCCACCTTGCTCTGGTGAGGCTGGATCTGCCTCCCTATTCCAGGTATGGCAGATGATTCAGATGCAGTGAAGACACTGTAGGATGAAATAGAGTTTTGGCTAGAAAGGGCAGGTTATACCCGATCAACAAGATCCATACCTAAGGTATTTTCTGGCACCATCAAGGAGGACACCTCCTTCTACTGGAGTTGCCAAGTTAATGGGTTGTTGGTATGGAAGCCCTGAGCACTATGCATCAGAAAAATGCATCAGCACTTGGGCTGGCCCAGTTAAGTATCTTTGAAAAGAGATATACAGACATTTATCAAATAAATGAGACCTTGGCAATACCTCTGAATTTTTCAGTAAAAGGAATGAATATATGCTTTTCTTTAAATTGATTTGGGTAGAATTTTCTATCACTTGCAACTGAAAATGTTTGGACTGATACATTTATCACTTATTGATACTCTTTGATACTGCTACAAGCTGCATGATATATAAATTATGCAATATCAGCCTTAGGTAGATAATATCCCATTTATGCTATAATAATACATTCTCCTTTAGATCCTTTGGCAAAAAATAAACCCTAAAATTTCTTTTCTTTAAGTACTCAAATCACATTACTTTGGGAAATAATAAAAAATCTATTTTTAACTGAGGCTTTCAGCAACAGTAGCCTCATCTTCTGTGCTTAACAAAAGGGCATTAAGACTCCTCTTCTTTTGACAGTCTAAAGGAAAAAAATCCTCATGGTAAGATCACTCAGCTGAGAAACACACAGAGAATCTTCCAGAGAAATACATTGCACACAAGAGCTGAAGGCTGAAATGCAACATTTTCAGCATCAAGCCATGCAATAAGGGGTCACCTAAGAGAAAGTGCAATAGAAGAATACGGTTCCCGAATCACTG